TGTAAAAAAAACCCCAGTATTCTTATAAATACTAACCTGTATTTCATCAGGTTCTCTGGAGTAATCTTGGGGTCGTGTTTTGCTTAGTTTGTTAAATATGCTGTAGAAAATGTAGTCGTAAGAAGTGGAGAGAGAGAATTGTGTGAAAAGGCACCGAGGAAACCCAGTGAGATTCTGAAGACCAGTTCAAGAGGCAGAGGGCAGAGTCTGTGGAAAAGTGATGGAAATCTTCACTAATGCCACTGAGACTTGCGGTGTGGGAGTGAAACGTGCTTAAAGCTGAAGACTTCATTTTTGATGCATAAAACCAGCCTGTTGCAACACACTGTAAAAAGTCCGGGCAAGGTGACAGTGTTTCGAGCGTCAGCGAAACTGCAGAGACACAGAAGCAGCAACACACTTCTCTGAGGCCCACGCAAGGTGCTGACTGGGCGAGCAGCCCCCTTCGTGGGCTCTCTGTGGCAACAGAGTCTCCCGAGGACCACGGCTAGGACGACTACAAATCTGACCAAGTGACCACTGACCCACTGAAGGGAAAATCTACTTGAGCTTCACTCTGCAGGAGGACAGACCCGGGGAGTTAAAAAACCCAGCTGCTGTTCTATTCACGCAGGCAGCCTCAAGATCACAGCCCCAAAATGCCACTGTTGCAGATCCTGCCTGCCCATAGGACGGACATCCAGGACAGAGGGAAGAAAAAGCCTCCAAACACCATCTCCAAGAAAGGAATGAGAGGGACCAGGGGAATGCAGGCCTTGAGTAGCACGGAATGCAGCAAACACCACAGAGTCTGCCTGGGACCATTCTCATGAGCGCAACAACTCCTACCTGGGAGTATCTAACTTCAGAATATATATGTATTCACACATAACTTCAGAACCAAGATATTCTAAAGGTGTCCCTCCTGCTGCAGTAGCACCTCAGAGGCTGATCTCAAGCTTGAGACAAAAGATGTCCAGCTCCCGTGTGGGAACATGGGCTTAACAGACTGGTATGCCCCTTGCTACCAGTGCCGAGGTGTCCGAGCACCTTGTCCCGGGAACTGGTGTTTGCCATCCTATTTTACGTGTCAGAAGATGGAGCAGAGGGAGAAAAGTGAATTGCCTGAGGCTGTTCAGTAAGCTAATGGCCACGACAGGGCTGGAAGCGAGTTAATGGGACACTGGGTTAATTGCGACATTTATTCACCTTTCCTGGAGGGAAGTGGTCTGTTGGACACGGCTGACGTACAGTGCCAGGCTGGGAGTCTCCACCTCACTTAATTGCCTGCAGAGTTAATCTCAATAAGCCTCTTGCCCCATCAGAGAAATCTTGGAGTTTCAGAGATGCTTCCAGCCATTTGGGTAAGAGTCGCTGTGCTTATCAGCATGAAGAGCAAAGCCAGGATAACTGGCTGTCCTCATGGTTTCGCCTTTGCAACACATGGTGGACGAGTCTGGGATATGCACCAGCCTGCCAGAAGAGAAGCTGGCAGGTTTTCCCCCACTATTAGCACGGACCTGATTTTGTTAATCAAAATAGAACAAGTCTAACAGATTTGGTGCAGACGTAACAAGGCTTTTTAAACAACTCCTGTGGTAGGTATTAGCAAATGCCGATCAGCTCTTTTAAAAGCTCTTCTTTTCCAGAAGGTTTGGGCTGCTCTGGTGACAAACGTAGTGCTCCTCTGGGAAAGTCGCAGCACAATGCAGGAGATACAGAAACAAATTAAGCAATCAGTGCAATCTTGCACCAAGTAATTCTTCCCTGGCATTTCTGCCTGTATTACTACAGCTTCAGTGGCGGTAAAGATGATTAACAATACTATAGAATAGTA